TGGGCCATAGTTTGCCCACCTGTGAGCTAGCCTAAGATTTGGCAGTATCTGTTCCCTTTAATTGCTTTGGATGATGTGTAATGGTATATGAGATGAAATGTAACTTTCATGCTTTCGTAGTTACCTTCCAGTTTTAGGTCCAACAACATTGTCGTTTTACAAACAAAATAATGAAAATTCATCTGTTTATTCAATGTCAAATATTCACTTCACTTATATTAAATTCACGTCTTACAGCTTTTATTTCTAGGCTCTGCTGTGCAGTAATGGCTTTTATCTTCAATGTATCATACTACAGTATTTCTAAAGACATTTTAAGTAGCAATTAAGAATTTAACCAAGAAGCATTACATTTAAACACAAACTATAGAAAAGTTGATTAAAGAATGGCTCAACTAATTAGGGGTTTATTTGTCTAATACAGAAAGGTTTAGAGTAGGCTGCACAAGACTGCTATGACACCTATAAAATATCATCAAGGACCTAGGCTCCTACTGTTCTATTTGACCATCCTTAGTATATGGTGTTTATTTTCACATTTGTAAAATGGATTCTGCACCTCGAGGCACTACTGCATTTCTGCAAGGAAGACAGGAAGAGGTCAAAGGAAAAATGGACTTTATCTTTCCATTCATTAAGAGAAGCCTTCCCAAGAAGCATCTGTCTTATAGCTCATTGGCCAGACATGTGTCATGTGATCACCCCAAGATGTGCAGGGGTGTAGGTAAACAAATTTTGTACCTGAGCACATTGCTTTCCTCAACAAAACTAGGCTTCTGTATTAAGAAAGAAAGGGGGATGGGTACTAAGTATTACCTGCAATGGCTTCTAAGTGTGTTTAAAATAAACAAACCAAGAGTTATAGGTACCTTCCTTTCACTCATGCCTAAATTAACATGGGTAAAGGCAGCAACTGTTGCCCCACAAATTCTTCTCTTCCATTTGCTCCTCAAATTTATTTTGATATTAGTTGTAAGGTATACTTTGTTTCAGAATAGTTGAAGCGTGGGGAGAAGAAAGCTCTGTGTCAAGGAAATGACTATATAAGTTTGTGTTATTTGAACTCTGGATTTATGCCCAGCACATGAAGTGCCCTTGATGGCTTCCTGTTGCCACATGGAAATCCTTTCTATTACCCAAGGCCCTTACGTTTCCCAAGTTCCTGCCTCCTGAGCAGGTATGTCATCTGCCACTCAAGCCTGGGTTCCCCCAGTTCCAGGCCACATTCACCTCAGGAGATCTTAAAAACTGTGTAGTGATTCTTTCCTGATGCTAATGTCATAAACATCCACTTGAAAACTTCCTTTCCTAGGTTAAATTTCTCCTTTTTGTTTATTTAGGTGATTTGTTATAATATTAATTTTCTGTGGTCTTAGCTCTTTTTAAAAATTTTATCTTAATCATCTGGCCTTTTTTATAAGTGTAAGGAAACATGGAGGCCAATGAGTAACAAAATGCTCAGAGTCCTGCTATTGTGTCCTGTTGGGATTTATGTAATGTACTATTGTTCCTCTCCAGGCTGTGAAGCTCTCTGTCTTTCTCAAAATAAACTTCTTCCATTTAATCTTTTGACTGTTGATACATTTATACTGTTCAAAAAGTTTAAAGTTTATACATGTAGATAGTGAAAACTCTTGCTCCAACTTTGTCCCCATCACCCAGTTCCCATTCCCCCAGCCCTTAGGCAACCACTTTTGTTATTTTTTACATAACCTTCAAGAGTGTTTTTAAATGAAAATACAAGCAAATATGAATATGTTTCTATTTTCTTTTTTCTATTCAGGAAAATGTACCTAGTCTGCTCCTAGATGCTCCTTTCGTTGTTGTTTTCACTTACATAGATGTCTTGGAGACCTTTTCCTAGCAGTGTTCACAGTACATACAGAATTTCTCCTTTTTTCTTTTTAAGTTGTATAGTATTAAAGTGTTCTCTTTCAAACACAAACCTGGTCATGTCTGCCTTGCTTCCCTTTTCGAAAATGGAAATATAATTACTTACATTTTACTCCTTAAACTACTGACAGTCATCACCATTGTTAGTAAGGAACTATCCTTCACTTTCTGAGTATTGTCAGTATGTAATAATGCATTTGATTTTGTTTTAACAAACAGCAGCATTACTCTTTTTTCCTCTCCAGTTTTACTGAGTTATAATTTACAAAACACTGTAAGTTTACAGTTTACAACAATGATTTGATGTATGTATATATTGCTAAATGATGACCACAGTAAGTTTAGTTAACATTTATCACCTCACATTGTTTAAATTATAATCTTCTGCAATATAACTTTAGCTATAAGGAGGCAGAGGTGTTAAGACATGGGTGCTTTCAAATATTGTTAATAGGAATGTAAATTGATGTAGCCTTTTTTTTATTGAGGTATAGTTGACATATAACATTATATTAGTTTCAGGTCTACACATAATGATTCAGTTGAAAAAGGTTCACCACAATAAATCTAGTTAACAACCATCACCATACAGTTACAATTTTTTTCTTGTGATGTGAAATTTTAAAATCTATTACCAACTTTCAAATGTACAATACAGTATTGTTAACTATAGTTACCATGCTGTACATTGTATACCCAGCACTTATTTATTTTATAACTGGAAGTTTATACTTTTTGATATATGTGGCCCTGTTGAAAAGCATTTTACCTTGGGTCCATCAGGAGCTGAAAAATGTCTCTGCCTTTTGACCTGAGTTTTATTCATAGGCCTTTGTCCTAAAGTAGTATCTCAAGATACAGTAAGAGTTTTATAAATAAAGATGTTCACTACATGATGTTATTTCTAGTGGTGAAAGTTACTGGTACGCTAAATATCCAAGAATAGAGTAATAGTTAACTATACAGCTACATGATGGAATTGCCAGGCAGATTTAAAATTCATACCTTTGAACACTTTTAATGATGGGACAGTATTTATAATACTGAGTTGAGTGAAAGGGACAAGGTGTAGCTAATTTTACTGAGTGTGATCCTCTGAAAGGAGAGACTAATTGAGCTTCAGGGGATTATAGTCAAGCAATAAATGTGCTGTGTGTGTGTGTGTGTGTGTGTGTGTGTGTGTGTGTGTGTGTGTGTTATCTATGTGTATAGGTGAAGGGGGTAGAGAGGTAAAGTAGAGTGTGTCTTTGATGTATCCCAGTATTGAGAATGTATGAGTTTTTAGGTACTCACATTTTGGAGTAGGGGTGGATATTATTTATGTATATGTTATATGGAAAACTAAAGTTCAACTGTATAGCAGTTTCATTTTTGATCACTTTCATGAACACATCAATGTGCTGGATACGTAGAGCTCCACCTACGGACATTAAATCCAGACCCTTTCCTCTAATAAATTTCGACGGTAGTTGTCTGGGTAGTAGGATTGTAGGTAACTTTTTTTTTATTTTACAATTTCTAGACTTTTAAATATGCAGATAAATTGCTTTTATAGTCAAAGGAGCTGGATCATGAAGGACATTGTGCTGTATGCTAAGAAATGTATATGTTTTTCCAAAGACAGTGGGTTCCCACTGAAGAAGGAATTTGAATAAGAGAATGACATAATTTTCTTGAAAAGAGCACATACTAAGTGTGACCACTTTGACCTCAGGAACAATGAAATCTACTTTATGGTTGTATGGGGAAACTAAGTAGGGGAACAATGAAATCTACTTTATGGTTGTATGGGGAAACTAAGGAGGACGGATGATACTTTTTTGCAAGCTGACATTTGAAAATAAATAATATAACTACATTTCTGAAATTATATATCAGTGAAGAAAAAAGTTAACTTTTTCAGAAATGATAAATGGCTTAATTCAAGAAATTAAGATAATACCATTATCAATTTGGATTTAGAATCATACAATAATTCTCTCATTTTATGATATCATTGAGCTTAAAGATGTCCCATTTTGTTAGCTTTTTATGTCCATACTAACTATGCTCATAGACTTCAGCCCAGTGATCAGAATCTCTCTGCTTATCACATATAACAGATTTCCACTTCAGAGACACCTGTCATTGAGAAGTTGGGGTTGGAGATTGGATGGGAAGGCAATTGGCATGTGAAAGTTAGTTCTTCAAGCATTTTATTTTCTGTGACAAGAGGCTTTCTGACTGATTGATCTCAAAATGATTCTTTAGCCATTTTAAGGTTTACTTCACTGCTTAAATTTGTTCTCTGTGCAGATTTTCTAGAATCATTTAGAAAAAGCAAGCTTGTTTTCTCATGTTTCATGTGCAGTGTTTAATACATTGAGTATTGACACCCCATTTAAATTAGTTTATACACACTCTTAAATTAAGAAGATTGGTAACATTTTGAAAATTACAAGTGTGTTTGCAGATATTCAAGAACACACCTGACACCTAGTGACTTAGGAAGGAAGCATGAAAAATCAGAGGAATGAAAAGGGTTAAGAAATAGAGTTCAAAGTAAAATGGTGCTTGTTGTTTACTCTCACCTTAGAAGTGGAGAACATTTTTCTCTTGTGAATTGATGAAAGGATGCTTTCATGACAGCAGCCACAGCTGTGGAATATCTGAAAGAGACTGCTGAGGGGAATAAAAAGTTGCTGCTCCCGGGAATCAATGAAATGTCGACATCTCAGATGGGCTATACATGGTTTTCAAATGGTTTTGAGCAGAGAGAGCTTTCATGACTGTAAATGTCAACTTCTGTGGGTGGGAGGCGGGAGTGGTGATGGCCCTCTGAGAACTATGTGAATCTCTCACCTCATACATAGTCTGTTCCTTCCAGCTAATCTGAGGTGTGCCCCAGAGTTCTGGGGAGTCTAGGCGAAGAACTCACTGTGTCAGGACTTGCTTAGACCTCTGCTTGATATCCAGTGAGTGAACAGTGAATGGCGCCTATGTAAATCGCCTGGTTTTTTTTTGTATCATTGACCTCTCACAATGAGATATCAAATTTAGTTCACTTTGAAAATATCTACATATTATTTTAAATGAGAATTATTTCTTTATTTGTCTTCTCTCTTTAGATAAAGAAAAAGCAACAAGATGTGGTTAGATTTCTGGAAGCCAACAAGATAGAGTTTGAGGAAGTGGATATCACAATGTCAGAAGAACAGAGGCAATGGATGTACAAAAACATCCCCCCAGAAAAGAAGCCCTCTCAAGGCAACCCTCTGCCACCTCAGATATTTAATGGTGACCGATACTGTGGCGTAAGTAGCTAGATTGTTATCAGACTCTTTCTCTGCATGACTCAAATCACAGAGTTACCTAGAGTACAGTTGCATTTTTTCAGTGAGGGCTATGACCTCTTCACCCAGGGTCCATTCGGGTCCATAAGTCTAACAGAAGATAAAGCTGAGAGGAAGGGGATATGAATCCAAAGTTACAGACAGTGTTTGTAAATGTGAGTGTATGTGTAGTCTTCCTGTCTGTCCGTTTGCTTTGAGAAGGGGAGTAGGAAAGGAAGCTGTGTGCATGTTTTATTGTGTTCTAAATTTTAAAGCACGTTTTTTGATTAATACGTTTTGGACAACAGACTGGAAGGGTAATTATTCTTGAATTTTTATCCCTTTATAGTATAAGAAACTAATAGCTGATTTAAATGAGTTTCATTTTTCATGATAATGAGCCAGATGGATCATTATGAACATCTAAAATAGATTAGGCACCTTTCTGCTATATGTAGCACATGAAAAGATGAAGTCCTTTTTATTTAATTATCTATTTTCCTTCTAACTCTTAGGTTAAAGAAAAAAATCAAGAAATTTCTTTCCAATGAGTAGTTAGTACTTGCTTTTGCCAGAGTTCTAAATATATAAGTCATTGTTTATTTTGGGTTGTTTACTACAGTTCTTTAAAGATGTTCAGGAGAAGAGCAAAGGGCTGAGGTGCTTGAGGCAAAATGAATAGCTGAGTTGTCATTTGGGTTGAGAAAAGGAATAACAGTGCTTTTGGTTGCTTGAAAGGAAACAGTTCCTTATGTGCATAAGGGAGGATGAGATGTTGAAACATAGTCATGAAGATTGTTTTGAGTTCTATTACTACTTAATATTAGCTGTGACACCTTTGGGAAGTCATTGATCTCTTTAAGCCTCAATTTTCTAATTTTTAAGCAAATAATGATGATATCTATCATACTTCACAGGATATTTGTGACTATTTCCAAAGTACTTTTTAAGTACATTATTATATAAAAATAAAGGTTATTATTTTATAGAATTTTTTGTATCATGATCTCATATTTTATTAGGGGAAGAATGTGCTGACCAAGGGTATATCCCATTCATGATTACAGAGCCTAGAAAAGGTACTCTTGTGCCTATACATTAAAATGAGGTAATAGTTGAAGATGTGTGTAAACTGTACAATTCCAGATTTAATAAAGCTATTAGTCAGATAGTGCTAGAAGGCTAATCCAGCAATTTTTTGTCCCTCAGATTTTGCAGGTATGAAAATGCCTTAATTCTTGTCTTGTAGTTGAGTGGTAATTTGGCTGGGTATATAATTCTAAGTTGGAAAGAATTTTGGTGGTTTTGTTTCATTGTCATGCAGTGTCCAGTGCTGCAGTTGAGCAGTCTAATGTCATTTTTCTTGATCTTTTGTATGTTTTTGTCAGTTTCATCTATGCCACTTTTTAAGATCTCTTTCTTACTCATGTAATTCCTAAAATATTTTGAATTACCATAATATAAGCTATTTTTTATTCATCGTGCTGAGTGCTCAGTAGGTCCTTATAATCTAAGGATTATATGATTATTAAATATGTTCTTATATTATTTTCTTCCTGCTTTTTTCCCTGTTCTCTTTCTCTGGAGTGCATATTAATTTGGATATTGGGCTTCTTACATTTATTTTCTAATATTCTTATCTTTTTTTGTTGTTGTATTGTGCAGTTGTCTAACTTTTGTTTTACTTTCTGGGAAATTTCTTTAACTTACCTTTGAATTTTTTATGTCATCTTTTTTTCACCCTTTTTACTCTCTGATTTTTTCTTTTTAATAATGTTATGCTTTTATGAAATGAATGCACGATCTTAGCTCAATGGAGCTATTACATATAATTTCTTTTAAGTTTTCTTTTACCAGTATTGTCCCTGTTTCCGCTAATGTCCTTTGCTCATTTTGTTTATTTTGGTGTTCCTTCTCAAGTGAGATGGGCCTTCCTCAGATGCCTAGTGATCCTTGTCTTTTGTTTAAGAGGGGGAGCATTAGAAAGCTAGTTAGAAGCTGTGTTTGTGCCTATATATACCTGTAGGCTTGTTTCCCACTGGACTTCTCTTTAGGATGAGTGGGTAACCTGTCAGCATTCTCATTGCAGACACTGTTAGTTGTATCTGTGAGTCTTTTCTCAGATGATGGTTTAATTTTTCCAGAGAATGGCCCTTCAGTCTCTTGCTTTGGGAGCCTGACTGCTACCATTTTGGCCCTGTAGGATGAGAGAACTGGAAGGTCTCATTCTCTGTCATGCACATTTTCACTTCATATTCCTGTTTTCACTCCTCACTGTCTTCAGTGCCGGTGTTTTATAAATTTGTTGCTTCGTAGAAGCTGTATCTGTTAACAGTGTACCTTCCAGCTCTTTGGGGAGAATGAGGCACCCTTGGAGCTTAACTGGTCTTATATAAATTTTCAAGCAGTCTCCTTGTTTTCTGACTTTGCCCACTCATCCCACCTTCATGACAGCAGATGCCTCCAATTCCTAATATTTTCTGAGGGCCCTGCAGCTTGTTCCTTGTTGATGCTGCTCCTGCAGACACTAAGGTTTGACCATCCTGTGCTCTCTGACATCCCTCGCCATTAATTCACCCAATTCCTGCATATGTTGTAGTTCAGAGCCATAGATGTCTGATTTTATCTTTTAAATGGAGTTTCTGATTTAAAAAAAAATCTTTGTTGTTGTGTTGACTTTTCAAAAGAAAGGAGTTAGAAACATCTTTGTTCTGTCATCATAAAAGCAGAACTCTTCAGAGCCTTTTGAATAGAGGAATGTATTGAATGAATAAAAGAGCATAATGTTGTGAAATAAAATTCCTTCTTCTTATTTTCACCTCTTTATGACTTTCTAAATCTGTATCTTTGCCTTACAGAGTCTATGGAAATTTTTTGATAGACTGTCTAGGAGCTGGTTGGAGGCTTACATGTTGATTAAACTGTGCCAGATAAATGACATCTTCTCAGCTTGAGCAGTGTTAGTCCCATGGTGATGGTGACAGCAGCACTGGTATGTGAACTCTGTCTTTATAGTCTGGCAGGAGTTCTGAAGATAGTGTCTGCTCTTATCAAGGTCAAGTAAATTTAATTTTGACAAAAGCAAAAGCATTAGAGGGCCACTAACCATGACCTCATTCATCCCACCTGCTCCTGTGCACCTTGCTTTACCCAGTGATAGATAGAATATTCTTCTCTGATTGGATAACCTGTGGAAAACTGCCACATTGCAAGTGACAGGATCCAGTAAGCATGAAGATCCTATTTCCTGAAATTTGCTGGAAACTTATTCCTTTTATTTTAAACTGGGTAAGCTAGGCATTTGAGACACAAACAGCTGCTGAGCTACTTAGTAATCCATGCGAACAATTGCCTCCTCTCTCTCTTTTAGCATTTAGACATTCTGCCCATTGGGAAGAATTCCCAACTGAATGGAAGCACTCTGGGATGCCAAATCAGTTCTTACCATCCCAGAATTTGAACATTGAGGGGACGATGTGGAAACACATGATTATTTGCAGGTGGCAGTGATTGTTCAGGTGAGATGGGGCTAGGCATAGCCATAACTGGTATCCTAATGAGGCTGATCCTGGGGTGTGACCTGGGTGTGTTCTTCACTACCCAGTCATGGAAATTCCCCGTTTTCTAAATCCTCCAGCTTTAATGTGCATTCCATGAGCTCACCACTATACTTCCATAAAGCCCTTTCCTTTTTAATTTGTCCATTTCAGTGTCCATTTCAGTTGTTTGTAGTCAGGAAGCCAAATTGGCATAGACTGGTTCTTGCCTTTCCCTGAAGTGTTCACCATGCCCAAGAGTCTTCTCTGGAAATGGAGTCTTAAAGGTATACATCCACCTAGGCTTTTCTGATGGGCTTTAGTGTCTGATTTGGATTTTAGAAAGCTCGGGTCCTCATGTTCAACACTTAAACTTTGCTGTGGAACTGTCATGTGTGGAATGCAGCAAAATAAAAATGCACACATCTACAAAAAGGAAAATATTTACTCCCCTTTCATTTATCTTCTGTCTCCCTATGCATCAAAAAAAAAAAATGGTTTGGATTTCTTTATACATTTTACTTATTTTTACTAAAAAATTTTTATTGTGGTAAAAACATGTCATAAAATTTACTGTATTAACTACTTTTAAGTGTACAGTTAGTAGTGTAGTGTGAAGTATATTCATTGTTATAAAACAGATATGCCGAACTTTTCATCTTGCAGAACTGAAACTGTATCCATTAAAATACTCCCATTTGTACCCTCCCCCTTGCTTCTGATGACCATTAATTCTGCTTTCTGTATCTATGAATTTGACTACTTTAGGTACCTCATAGAAGTGAAATCATACAGTATTTGTCCTTTTGTGACTGGCTTATTTCACTTAGCATAATGTCCTCAAGGTTCAGCCATGTCATATGTCTTAGTTCATTCAGGCTGCTATAATGAGTTACCACAAAACTAGGCAGCTTACAAACAACAAAAATTTTTTCTTGTAGTTTTGGAGGCTAGAAGTTCAAGATCAAGTGACAGTATGGTTGGGTTCTGGTGAAGGCCCTCTTCTGGGTTGCAGACTGCTAACTTCCTGCAGTGTCCTCACATAGTGCGAGGGTCAAGGGTGCTCTCTCTGACCTCTTATATAAGGGCATTAATCTCATCCACCCTGTACAATTGAAGCATGTGACATTCGTCCTATACTATTGAGGCATGTGACCAGATTTCTTTCCTTTTTTAGGCTTCCACTGTATGTATCTACCACATTTTGTTTATCCATTTATCCCTCAGTGGACACTAGGTTACTTCTGCCTCTTGGCTATTGTGAATAGTGCTGTGATGAACATGGGTTTACAAATATCTCTTTGAAATCCTGCTTTTAATTATTTTGGATATATACATAGTACCGCGTCCTCTTTCTACCCTACTGTGTGACAAGGTCCGGAGATGGGGACAGAGGCTTCAAGGAATGCATCGTCAAGAACGAGGACGTGGCATGTGTTTAGGGAT